AAGGTCATTTATTTGATTAAAAATCTGTTAAGAATCCATGTAATTGCATTGTGTGAGGAACACAACCAAATGCTAGTCTTTATTTAAAGATCGTCATAATTGTTAAATCGCACACTTGTTAAAAATTCTAAATTGGCTGCCTCAAATATCATTACGACAAAGGTTTATGTCAGTGATATCAAATGTTCATTGCCTATCATCTGCTTTGTCAGCAACTGCGATATGCCATGTTTTGAGTGACGTGCATTTGAATGAGAAATGCGTGTCTTCGATGAGTAAATCAGGATAAGATTTTCAGCAGTTACCTTAAAAATTACTTTGTGCCTCACAGAAAACTATTGTATACTGCACTTCTAATACAACACATCGTCATTTGGACTACTTTGGTTCTACTTTTTGCCATTTTTGGAATAAATGTTAACACATTAGATTGGGGAACACTATTCACTATTAACTAGTTGTTTATAAGCATGCATATTACACATTGGCTGTTTATTAGTACTTATAAAGCACATATTAATGCCTTATTCTGTATGACAATATTTTAGATCCCTTAACCCACCCTACTCCATACCTAAACTTAACAATTGCCTTACTATTAATAAGCAGCAAATTAGGAGTTTATTGAGAGAAAACTCTTAGGAAGCTCCCTAATCTAAAGTGTTACCAAATAAATTATTGTGATTACACATGTCTGTTACATTTGTCTTTATAATGTATCTATATACAGGTATGTATATATTTACAAAATGGTTAGAATTAAGTTTAGAGATGGGGAATGGATTGGCCATTAAAAAAATCTCTATATATTGTATAATGTAACTAAAGTTATTGCCACTGCACATTTTTCTGCCTGTTAATTTTTTTATATTGTTGAAAAGTTGTTGTTAAGGTTTGGTGATAGGGATCTAAATATATATATTTATAAAATAGTACAAATGGAACTATATAAATATATTTATGATATGAAGGATTTATATATATTTAATGTTTCTGTAGCTGTAGTCAATCGTATACTGTATGTTATTTCACATTTTATGATTAATATTATTACAGTATATGGTTCAACATCTACCCAAACACTTGAAAATGTGAATGTTCCTTTGTTTACCTTTGTTCACTGAAAAACCCTGCATTTTCCTTTAGAAATTGCTAGTAAAATTTGCAAATAATTGAAAAAAAAATGGCAAGTAACACATTGAATTAAACATGAATTTTGAAGTATTAAGAATGAAATAGTGTGTATTTTAAAATGTACTCCAATAAAATGTATATAAAACTTAAAAAACTAATTTTTACAGTGTATAAACACCATGGTTATTTTTACTCCATGGTTATTATTATATATATTTTTATATTAGGGGTGTAAAAATTTTCGGTACGGGTCTTTTGGTTCGGTACGCACTCGTTATTTGCTAGGGAAATTAAGTCTAGAGAAGAGCATTTTGAGAAATATTAAGACTATATACTTACATACATGTAAATATACATTAAGACTGTATATTTACATGTTCGCATACAATTTTTTAAATTTGAGTGTTGATTAGGCTATTATACTGTAGTTAAAAATCCACAACTTGATTGACAGCTGTCACTGCCTCTTAGTGACCGTGTTTACTCCTTTCTTTTCAACCATTGGATAGGATTTTAAAAAAACTTCTGACGAAGCGCTGTTAAATATAGGGGAAACTATGCCGCAAAAAATAATAAATAAAAAAGCTTTCTTAAAAAGGCAAAAGAACGCATGCACATTTTCTGACTATGACAATTAAAAACCAACAGACTGATGAAAATGCGGGACATTTTCTCGATATGCAATGTGCGGGACAAGGGGTGAAAATACTGTGCGGTACAATGCAAAGCGGGATGGGTGGTCACCCTTGGCCTTATGCACTCCCTCATGTTTTCCTTCTGTTTTCAGTCTTTAATTTTCTTATTTAATTTTTTAATTCAGCTTAATTTTAAGATGCATATCCGCTCCTCTCCCTTCTCCTCTTCATTTGCTGCTCCTCGCATTTCCCTGGTTGGCTCTCAGTTCATTTTGCTAATATCTGCAAACACTTTTTACATGCAACATATTTTAGGTGTTATAATAATTATATGATTGAAGAAAATGACAATTATAAAGTTAAATTTTTACAAAAACAAACCTGTTGAACATTAAATTAAATACAACATACCAGCTAAAAGGGGCCCTTTTGTAGTATAGATGAACATAAACATAACATAAGGTTGTTAAACACTTCATGAAATTGAAAGTCTTTATCCACTCCTTATAGTCTCCTGGTCCACATTGCTTTGATCCAATATACATTTATCCACTTAAAGTGTCATTCTAGAAAACAAAACATTTTCTTACAACCTTACGTGAAATCTTCTGATAGAATACATCATGAAATGCAATCGCAGCAGGGTAACAGGTGCATTAGATCTAACATTAGCATCAAGCTAAGACTTTTTATAAAATCAATAGTAAGCTTTTACTCAAATCTTACTTCAAACCAGCGTTGAGTGTTTGTAGTAGCTTACAATTGCGATCTAATGTGAATTTTGGTCATATAATGTTGTTGAAATAAGTTATTTGTAGTTTTTTTATACTAAGCTAATCGTTACACCAGCTTGGCATTTCTCATGTATACATTCTTTATTGTTATGAAAACACCCCAAATCTCATGAAAATGACATACAAACCATATACCAGTGGTCGGCAACAGGTGGCCCGCGAGCCAAAACTGGCCCGCCAGCAATAATATCTGGCCCACCCGCAGTCAGATTATTTTGGTTGATGTACCACCCGTCTTCATTTGCTTTTTCTGTTACGCAATGACTCCTGGGTAATGTGAGGAATCAGCATCAAGCCCTCCCCTCATGCTCCTTTCAACCCGCCACACACTTTCTCCAGCTTATACACATTCAGCATTCTTCCTTCCCTGGTGGTCCAGTTTCTCACTATACTGTGCCTCTCTAACTAGCTCATTACCCTTTCTTACTGTAGGTTTTGCATTGGTTCTCGTCCCTACAGACAGTGAGGTTGTGTCATTATATTTGTATTTAATGAGCAAGTAGTTTTATATACCAGTTAAATCAAAGCCTAGCAGTGGTAATTTATGTTGACTTCAAGTCATGACAGAATGATCATATTTAAGACATATGACATTAAAGCATGTGAACAGCATATCTGGGATTTCCTTTAAGCCTGGACTTTTTGGATTGGCAGCTGAAGAAATCAAGCAAATTGGTATATTAATCATAATGAATATAGCAGGGCTTTTCCTGGCTCAAAATTAGGCGGTGGTACCATCCTGATCATGTACACACAATGTAGCCTACCCACCATTCAACTGGCTGAAACAAACACTTTTTACATGCAACATATTTTAGGTGTTATAATAATTATATGATTGAAGAAAATGACAATTATAAAGTTAAATTTTTACAAAAACAAACCTGTTGAACATTAAATTAAATACAACATACCAGCTAAAAGGGGCCCTTTTGTAGTATAGATGAACATAAACATAACATAAGGTTGTTAAACACTTCATGAAATTGAAAGTCTTTATCCACTCCTTATAGTCTCCTGGTCCACATTGCTTTGATCCAATATACATTTATCCACTTAAAGTGTCATTCTAGAAAACAAAACATTTTCTTACAACCTTACGTGAAATCTTCTGATAGAATACATCATGAAATGCAATCGCAGCAGGGTAACAGGTGCATTAGATCTAACATTAGCATCAAGCTAAGACTTTTTATAAAATCAATAGTAAGCTTTTACTCAAATCTTACTTCAAACCAGCGTTGAGTGTTTGTAGTAGCTTACAATTGCGATCTAATGTGAATTTTGGTCATATAATGTTGTTGAAATAAGTTATTTGTAGTTTTTTTATACTAAGCTAATCGTTACACCAGCTTGGCATTTCTCATGTATACATTCTTTATTGTTATGAAAACACCCCAAATCTCATGAAAATGACATACAAACCATATACCAGTGGTCGGCAACAGGTGGCCCGCGAGCCAAAACTGGCCCGCCAGCAATAATATCTGGCCCACCCGCAGTCAGATTATTTTGATAGCGGCTGGTTCTGAAATAGATCTGTCATGACAGCAACAGTTATTCAAAATCACTTTGTCTTTAGTGATTTTGCCTTCAAAATAAAAGTACGAGAACGTTTTTGCAGTAATGTTTTATTTTGAGATGAATTGAGAGCTTTTAATTAGAAAAGTTCTGAAAGATATTAAAAAGAGTCTATTATATTCTTTGCAAACAGCGACAACTTCGTTGCAGATAAGACACACCGGCTTTGCATTCACAAAACTAGGTAGGATGAACGCATAGTTGTCTTTCCATTCTTTTTTGTATGCTTTGTAACTTTCCTCATTAGACTCTTTGATAGTGCCATTTTCTCTCACCAGCTAGCTTAAATGTTTACATCACTCTGCACACGACGTAATAGCGTACCTCCAGCACGCAAAACAATTTAAAAAAATGCAATTTAGTACATGAGGATGCCAAGGAATAATTCTGAGTGTAAAAGTGGTACAATAAGTTAGACTTTAAAATGATAGACATTTATTATTCACAATATGGAAAGAGGAAATAAAACATAGTTTGTTAAGAGCATGACTCAAACATGCCATTAATGGGCTTATTCAAGTCCTCTTTTATTTTTTTATTTATTTTTATCCATTCCGCATCTCCCACATATGTGTTTTAGCAAGGCAGCCTGTGTTGCAAGTTGGTGAATGAAGATACTTGCCAGGTTACGTGTCACTATTCTGCTTTATTAATTTATCCAGTGTAAAACCCAGACACCGCGACACAAATGTGGCTTTTTGTTAATGACTGTCCTACTACAGGATTTAACACAGAGTAACAGCTCACTACCAGTTACAAAAGACACTGTAACAGTCTGTCACAGGCAATTCTAGTTGCATTTTTCATCAATTAATTTCTTAAATTATCATTTGACTATATACTGTATATAGTATATATGTTGAGCCGCTGGGTCAAAGGCCCATCCTCCAGCCACGACACCGATGGAGACTGGCAGACCCGCGGCAATCCCACCGCACAGATTGTGAGCTTGGCTCACCCTCAGCCATGGTGCAGTGGGCGGAGCTTCCCTCTGCGCTCTCGCTGTCCATAGCGCACTCCCCTGTAGAGAGCACTGTAGCCGGCTCTCGCACCTGGTCTGACATCACGGGCTCTGGCTCTGGGACGATCCTCAGTTCTGTCACTCAATTAGGCGATGGCTCGTCAGTCGTGGCGGGCTCACCCCAATCCAGACACCGAAACATGGCCTCCCTCCAGTTCAGTCTGTGGTGTCTGGGAGGTCCACGGGGCGATGGTAATGGACTTCATGGTCTTGTCATTGTACGGGGACGTGACGGCAAGATGGGCGAATTCTAGGGCAAACGATACAAGAGAACTTCGCCGCCCATTCCATTCTTCTTTTTCCTTTTTGCGGTCCAGTGTTCCGCCACAGGTTAGGGTGTACAAAAGGTGCACGAAGAAGAAGAAGAATTCAAACAGTCTTTAATAAATCCACAAGAGGGGTAAATCCATAGAAGGCAGGAAGAAATCACATACACAACACAGTGTACACATTAACACTGAACGAAGACTAACGTAATCGACTGGACTTAAGTACTAAAGCAAATGAGGATAGTTATGAGACACACCAGAACCAAATGACAATCAGACACAGACGGGAATCTAGGTCACAGAGCACATGAGGAGAAAACACAACAAAACAGGTGCATAGGTCTGACACTTATCCTGTGTAGGGTTGTATTTATTTGTTTATTTATTTATTTGGGATATTTTTATGTATGTATGTATGTATTTATTTATTCATGTATTTATTCATACACTTATTACCCTGTAGCAGATCTGTACAGGCGGAGCTGGGGAAGGTGGACGGTTTCTAAAGTGCGCTGCAACTGCTACAGCAAGCACTAGCCAAGTATTTGAACCTTGAGCAGCGAGCTTATTGGCTCCTGATGCGAAAAGAATCCAATCAACTGCACCTTGTCAATATTATGTGATTATATCAGACTGAGTTAGAATGTATCGGCCTGCACCATTTAGAGTTTCATGACAGAACTTTGTATTTAATTATTTTTTGACATTTGGAGATCTGGAAATCACTATTTAAAATCACGTTGTTTCCAAATTGTCTCACTTGTGCTCCTGTTAAAAATTCATTGTAAGACATCTGACATGAGGACTTCTGGAAGCCTCTGTTGAGTACTGCAGATGAGCAGTTACGTTGGTGTGCTGTGTGACGCGTGAAGCATGTGGCTGAGTTCAGCCAGTATGTAACCCACTCGAATGTAGGAGTACCTCGTTGCCATGCAAACGTATTCATTAACACAGACAGAGAGAGTGAATCTTTTAAAGTCTTTTTGTGATTTACTAACATACTGACTGCAGTAACAGTTCATATGTTTGCACCATCCAGAGAAATAAGGATGATGATAATGATGACCTGATAGTATAATGACAGAAAAATCTAATGTCTACAAAGCAGATACTGCTTTAAGCAGAGGAGACGTTTTGCACAACAAACTGACAACTGTGTATGAAGCTGAATATGGCACGTAACTTGAATAATCCTCATTAACTAGAACACTCTCAGCTTCCTGTTTCCCATATAGTAGGTGCTGCTCTGTGAACGTGCAAAATGATTGACAGACAGAAAGATTGGTTAAACCAAGTATTCTACCGCAGCCCATGGTCACAATTTTTTTTTTTACAGATTACAGAGCTCACACTCTCAGAAAGAAAGGAACAAAGCTGTCACTGGAACTGTCACCTAAGGTACAAAAGCTAAAATATACATTTCTGTACCTTATTTACCCCGAATGGTACATGTTAGTGTGTTAAAAGGTTAATTCACCCAAAAATGAAAATTCTGTCATTAATTACTCACCCCCGTGTCATTCCAAGACCTTAAATTAAGATATTTTTGATGAAATCTGAGAGCTTTCTGACCCTGCCAAGCAATGCAACTACCACAGTCAAGGCCCAGAAAGGTAGAAAGGACATCATTAAAATAGTCCATGTGACATCAGTGGTTAAACCTTAATTTTATGAAGCTACGAAAATACTTTCTGTGTGCAAAGAAAACGTGCACCCATGCAACCATGGCGACGGGACGTGACATCTCCATTCCCTCCTTCATAGAATGTATCGGCCTGCACCATTTAGAGTTTCATGACAGAACTTTGTATTTAATTATTTTTTGACATTTGGAGATCTGGAAATCACTATTTAAAATCACGTTGTTTCCAAATTGTCTCACTTGTGCTCCTGTTAAAAATTCATTGTAAGACATCTGACATGAGGACTTCTGGAAGCCTCTGTTGAGTACTGCAGATGAGCAGTTACGTTGGTGTGCTGTGTGACGCGTGAAGCATGTGGCTGAGTTCAGCCAGTATGTAACCCACTCGAATGTAGGAGTACCTCGTTGCCATGCAAACGTATTCATTAACACAGACAGAGAGAGTGAATCTTTTAAAGTCTTTTTGTGATTTACTAACATACTGACTGCAGTAACAGTTCATATGTTTGCACCATCCAGAGAAATAAGGATGATGATAATGATGACCTGATAGTATAATGACAGAAAAATCTAATGTCTACAAAGCAGATACTGCTTTAAGCAGAGGAGACGTTTTGCACAACAAACTGACAACTGTGTATGAAGCTGAATATGGCACGTAACTTGAATAATCCTCATTAACTAGAACACTCTCAGCTTCCTGTTTCCCATATAGTAGGTGCTGCTCTGTGAACGTGCAAAATGATTGACAGACAGAAAGATTGGTTAAACCAAGTATTCTACCGCAGCCCATGGTCACAATTTTTTTTTTTACAGATTACAGAGCTCACACTCTCAGAAAGAAAGGAACAAAGCTGTCACTGGAACTGTCACCTAAGGTACAAAAGCTAAAATATACATTTCTGTACCTTATTTACCCCGAATGGTACATGTTAGTGTGTTAAAAGGTTAATTCACCCAAAAATGAAAATTCTGTCATTAATTACTCACCCCCGTGTCATTCCAAGACCTTAAATTAAGATATTTTTGATGAAATCTGAGAGCTTTCTGACCCTGCCAAGCAATGCAACTACCACAGTCAAGGCCCAGAAAGGTAGAAAGGACATCATTAAAATAGTCCATGTGACATCAGTGGTTAAACCTTAATTTTATGAAGCTACGAAAATACTTTCTGTGTGCAAAGAAAACGTGCACCCATGCAACCATGGCGACGGGACGTGACATCTCCATTCCCTCCTTCAGGGAACGAGGGTTACATACGTAACCGAGATGTTCCCTTTCAGTCGTTCACTACGAGTCATGTCGTGACGACGAATTGGGATCCCTACCAAAGCGCCATGGTTGCTGCCCCTTCCAGTGTCCTGTGCGAGCCGCCTGCACCCCTTTGTGGTGTAGGCCGGGGCTCGCAACAAGAAGACCAGTCACTGTTGTCATAGCACTACCCACTCAGTGAGATTGGATAACACTGGGAAATCCAGTACAACCTTTGCTCCAACTCCTGCTGCAAAAAGGAAAGCACAACCCTGATCGGGCATCTCCGGGGGTCTTCTCGGTGAGAAGAACACCACTCGACGAACAGGTTCCACTTCAAGGTGCAAGCGTGTTTCGTAGACGGTTCTCTCGCCAAAGTGATGGTGTCAACTACCTCTTGGAGTAGGTCACCTAGAACCTCCGCGTCCCGTCCAGGGACCAGACATGAAGTTTCCAGAGGTCTGGACGCGAGTACCACAGGGTGCCCCGTCTCGGAGTCAGTAGACCTTCCTCAGAGGAATCTGCCAGGGAGGGGCTGTCATGAGGAGCATTAGCTCTGGGAACCGAGTGGGCAAATACAGCGCCACAAGCAGGACCTGCTCCTCATCCTCCCTGATCTTGCACAGTGTCTGTGCGAGAAGGCTCACTGGGGGAAACGCATACTTGCGCAGGCCCCGTGGCCAGCTGTGTGCCAGTGTGTCTGTGCCAAGTGTTTCCTTGGTCAGGGAGTAGAACAACTAGCAGTGAGGTTTCTGGAGAGGCAAACAAGAGCTCGTACTGATATGCTCGTCCTTTGAACGTGAACCGCAGAAATGGTCTGCGGCGCGGAAGGATCGACACATGAAAGTACGCATCCTTCAGGTTGATTGCTGCAAACCAATCTCGGGGACGGATGCATCCGAAGATGTGTTTCTGTGTCAACATCTTGAACGGTAACCGGTGAAGGGCCCAGTTCAAGACACGCAGATCCAAGATTGGTTGTAACCCACCGCCTTTCTTGGGTACAATGGCCTAAGGGCTGTAAAACCCTGTATTCATATCAGCTGGAGGGACCGGCTCTATCGCATCCTTCGCCAGTAGGACTGCGATCTCCGCACGCAAGACAGGAGCATTGGCCGCCTTCACTGTCGTGAAGCAGATGCCACTGAACTTAGGCGGACACTGGGCAAACTTAATCGCATAGCCGAGGCTGATGGTCCGCAGAAGCCAACGAGACAGGTTGGGTAGCGCTAGCCAGGCACCCAGATACCGTGCAAGTGGGACCAGCGGAACCACCACCGTACCCGCAGTGGGGCTGCAAGGCGGAACGCAGGGACCCAACTCGGGCGGCTTGTGAGTGGACCAAAGAGGGGTCTGAGTGTGCGGTGCAACGCTTACCTGTTTCCACGGTTTGGCAGAGGGTGCGTTAGTAGGGCCTTTGTTGACGCTTTCGAAACGCCCGCTGCTGGCGATGGAGGAGGATGAGTGTGGTCCAGTGCTGGTCCGTCCGCGACTCTCCGTGCCCTCCTGGGACCCAGGGACAGAGAAAACCACTCTCTCGTCGAGATTTTCCATATTCTCCACCCAGCCCTCCTCCGGGAGAGGGAGATGTGCCTTCACCATCCCCCAAAGAGCAGCTTCCTTCCTCTCTGGGTCGCCCATCCCGGGGCCTCTTGCTCTTTGGCTCACCGCCAGGTTTGACGGGGACCTGGACGGGTGAAGCGGCCTGCCTATGCCCGCCTCAGTCTGCTTCTGTGCAGCCGAACCTGCAGTAACGCCATAGCATGTAAGGCGGAGGCAGCTTCTCCACAG